GAAAAAAAAAAAAAAAAAAAAAAAAAAAAATTAGCAGACAAAACTTCTTGCAGGGCGACCCCTGAGTAGTTAACTGTACCCAGAACTATACAATTCAGTCCAGCCTTCGTGCTTGCTGTAGCTCCTTGCTTCTTTCCACCACAGTGAATTGTCTGCCTGGATTAAAAGATCAATTGAGGGCAAAGAGAACACATACCATGAATTTATTTGTAGAAACTAGGAATTAGGCTATAAAACCATTTTAAGTTTTGTGCCATGGTTTTTAATTTATGCATTTCTCTTCATAGAGATAGTCTTATGAGAAAAACTTGTTTCAATGCTCAGATATATTTTTTACTTATTTTGAAATAATTTTTGATTTACAGAGAATTGCAAAGATACAACAGAGTTGTACTCTTAGTTTCCTGTCATGTTAACATCGTACCTTACGGGGTTGGGCATGTAGCTTAGTGGCGCTGTGCCTGCCTGGCAAGTGCAAGGTCCTGAGTTTGATTTCCAGTACCAGAAAAAAAAAATTGTGTATTACATAACCATTTTCCATACATTCACCAGACTAAGACATTAATATTTGTGCAATACTGTTAACTAAACTATAGCCACCAGATTTTCCCTATCGTGCTTGTTCTGTCCCAGGATCCAGTAGAGGACACTGCCACACAGCACAGACTCATCACAGCGCCTTAGTTTCCTCTCTGACACTTTCTGTCTTCGCTTCTTTTTTATGATTTGAAACCCGCTCTCTTTAAGGTGACTATAACCTCAAGACTTTATTGTCTTCGTAACGAAATGAAAGACGAGGCTGAGAACGGCCCCGCAGCCCCGTCTTGCTCCCCTCCCTGGTCCCGAGCACTGTCCCTCAGGCCGGTGTCCCTCTGTCCCGCCGAGCGCCCTGCACCTCCGCGGTCTCCTCAGTAGTTTCAGCTCACTTTGGAAAGTCAGCGTTGTCCACGCACCGTGGCCCCTGCGCCCAGAGATCCGCTCCTTTCTTGTCCCCTCCCCTTTGTGGGGCCTCAGCTTCTCGTACCCCTCAGTCGGTCCAGGGCGCTCGGGGACATTCACCGCGATTTCAGGAGCACGTGGGGAGGGCAGCGCCAGTTTGGCATCACGGGTTTCGGAGGACTCCGTGGGGGCTGCTCGCCATGCTCCTCCGGAGGGTTTGGGCCGTGCCAACTTGGGTGGCTTAGTTGGGAGAGATTGCTGGGTTCCTCACTGTGCTTTAGTACTTTTCCATGTTCTGTCTGATGGCGAGGGTCACTAGGTGCCGTCCACCGCCAAGGGGAAGGGAATTAAGTTCCTCAGCACGAGGCAGGGCCACTGGGTTTATGGACACACGTTACAGCCTCTGCAGCTGAGAAATACCCAGGGAGAAATCAGCGGGCTATGGAAGCGTCTTATTTGTTCTTCGAGTTTGCACCTTCCACACATTCTCAAGTGGAGATTGTCTGCAGTGATTATCACTCCAAGGTTCTAACGGTGACACTATTTTCCTCAGAGCTATTTTGACAGATTAATTTTACTATTTTTATTAGTGTATATTTGCAATACACAATAGTTACATTTGTTTTGGGGAACTGGTATGTGTACAAGACATATCCCTTCACCCCACCTGCTCTTTCCCCCGTCCCCTTCCATATGCCCAAAACGTCTGGCTGCTTGTTTCCAATCATTTCTACTTTGCTTTACCCATTTATTTGTTTATATTTTAGGTTTTGTTTCCTTATAAGAGCTTTACAATATTTAACGTTTTGTGTCTGACTTACTCCACTAAACATCGTCTTGCGTTCCTGTCATTTTCCTGCAAATGACATAATTCCATCCTTCTTTATGGCTGAATACTATTCCGTGGTGTGACTATGCCATTTCTCTTTATCCATTCGTGTGTTGAGAGGTGCCTAAGCTGTTTCTGAGCTCTGCTGTTGTGAACTGCAGGCTGTTAACAAGGGGTTGGCACACATCCCTGTGGTCCAGTGTCTTTTGAGGCTTTATCCAGGAGAGGTACAGTGAGGCCAGTGGAATTTCTGTATTCTCCGTTTGAGGAATTTCCCAGGTGCTGATTTCCCCAGTACCTTCCACCAGCAGTATGGAAGGGTTCTCTTTCTGCCACACCCTCCCCAGCATGTCCTGCTTTTTGTGTTCTTGCTGACAGGCATTCTGACGGTGTAAGATGGGATATGACGTTGAGGAAATTTTGAACCATTGTATTTTACACTCGGAATAATTGAAACATCAGAGGGGTGACGTGGGAAAGCAGGATGGAATAGCATGAAGGGAAAACGCGTATCCCGGGGCTCTTTAGATGAGAAAAGTCCCATTAATTCATTTCCTCCGAGACGGCACACGGAGAAAGACAGACGCAGACGGAGAGGGGTGAGTGGGCTGCTGGGAGCAGGGACAGAAATAGACACGAAGACAATACGTGTTTCAAATAGGAGGAGAAAAGGCAACTTTCAGTGTCTGGGACAAAGTGCTAGCCACTGTGGTTCGCACTGTTTCTAGTCACTGAAATTGCGGCTTGAGTTGTGGAATTTAACTCATGTTTCACATGAGCCGCGGAGATGTCACTCGTCCAGGATGTGGCCAGCAGGAAGCAGAACCCAGATTCGAATTAGACCTGTCTGACTCCCGAATCCCCTTCTTTCAGCTATATCGCGTGGCATAGTTTTCGGTGCCTTTTCAATGAAGAATAATTCCCACTGAATTTTTTTGTGTTTTGTTTGATAGCTCACTATTTATGTCCAGCCAGAGCAAAAGCACACAGCTGAATACGCAGCAAACGTAACCAAAATTGTGTTTGATTACTTTGAAGAATACTTTGGCATGAATTACTCTCTTCCTAAGTTAGGTAAGAATCGTTTCTTATTTTCTTATTTTTAATTTCATCTTTCTTTTTGCCTAAGTTAATTTGCCCCGCCCATTCTACCTCCATGAGTTAATGGCCATCCCTCTAGTTTGTACCCAATGCTTAGCACACAGTGAAATGTCCGTTCTGGACTTCTCTGAGGACGATGTGAACACCCCTCCTGACAAAGGGAGGTCAACGCACGTGCGCAGAGCTGCGTGCCTGCTAACGACAGAGCACTGGGCTCAGTGGGTTTACAAATGCGATGCTGGTCCCCATCACATCCCTGCCTTCTGGTGTTGGTGCCTTGGAAACCACAGGGTAAATGAGGCAGTGACACCCCCGTGCTTCTGCCCACGGTTGAGTAAAACCAAGTCCGGATTCTTCAGCAGTTACTCCTCTCCTAAGTGGATTTTTTTCCATCGTATGGAAGGAGGCGTGATCTCGTCTTAAAGCTAAAGCGTGGCCGCGGTCAGATGGGGCAGACGTGGCCCTGCTCCCCACAGCAGGATGACTTCATTTGTAAGCTCAAGGAGCATCCTCAGGACTCGAGATGGAAGCTCCTGGAGATGTCCGTAGGGTGAAATGGAGAAGGGAAGCAACGGACAACAACTGGCTCCCTGTGCCGCCTCTGCCCTTCCTTTAATAAATCATCCATGCAAAGAACCTGGGCGCCAGGGTCGCCCCAGGAGGGCAGGTTGGCTCGGGAGCACCGCGTTTTCTCTGCAGTGGAAGCAGCGGTGATTTTTTATTGCTGCACAGCTATTGGAGGAGACAGAAAGAACAGCAGCTTTTCATCAGTGCCGAAAAAAAATTATAAAATGTGGAGCTCCTGAGTGCAAGGTCTTTTCCCTTTGCCGCACGGTGGCCCGGACAAGTTGGGAGCGGAAGTCACCTCTCTCTCCGCTGTGTGTCCCACCCCTGCTCCCTCTTCTTACTTTGCTGTGCGCATTTTCAACACTTGCAGAATTAGCTCTACCACGGCCTACTCCGAAATGCACTGGAGCAGATTAACCTTAGAGCCGATACTCACCAGAGAGTGGGACCGTCCAAGGGTTAGGGGAGAGACTTCTCCACTCTTCAGGGGTATTGTTAAGACAAAACAGCCAGCCCTAAAAACGGAGATAACATGAAGAGAGGCTATTACCCTACTTTTGACCTCTACCTCAGATACATCATTTTTATTCCTTTGTAAAAAGCTTGATAAATATTTTAACCAGAAAGAAGGGCCTTTCATCCATGTCAGATGAAGACTTCAGTGGATTTTCATTTCTGTGCCTCGTGTAAATTATGCCTAATGATAAACCACTTTTTGATTAGAGTTCATAAATGGAGAAGCCGTGTTTTCTGCTGATCAGCTGAGCACTTTCTTTTTCGGCCTGGAACACAGAGCTGCCCCCAACAGCCTCCTCCCGTGGGGTACTGTGTGCAAGGTCAGAGACCCTGGTGAAGAGGAAGAAGAGAAACTCATCATGGAACCTAACAGTTTAGGTCTTGGAGAGCCCTGGGAATGGATCGCATCCGTTTCATTTTTCTCCAGCTTCTTTAACGCACCTATAGATGGTGATCAGAGGAGGTCAGGCTGACCTTGAATCCGAGGGCTCAGGAGGAAGATGGAAGTTTATCTCCTCCGATACTCTGCGTCCTAGTTAGACCTCTATTTCCAGGCACTTAGAAGTAGCTCTGACTTCCTTAGTCCTCCTCTGCACGCTTGGCTCTTTTTCCCACAGCTCATCCCCAAACCGATTCTCCCCATTACCTAAGTGGAAATCACAGGAGAGAAAAGCTCCTAACAGTGAAGTACTGTACAGACAGGAACAAAAGGCACAAAATAATGGAGGCCTTGAAAAAAACAGCCATGAGGATCCTTCTTTTAAAAAAGGCCACATTGGTGTTTAGAACCCACAGGAAAAGCATCATGGAAATTCTGAGTGCATTAGGCTCGAAACATTTGCACACATGGTTACGGCTTTTCACTCTAAGAAATTACTTTTAGCTTTTAAAAGACATTCATTCCAGGAGCTTAATTTGGTAAAAAAAAAAAAAAAAAAAAAAAAAAAAAAAAAAAAAGAAAGAAATGCTATGAGCAAATGGAAAGAATATCTTTCTTGCTGCACTTTTTCTTTCTCTGCAGATAAAATTGCGATTCCAGATTTTGGCACAGGAGCCATGGAGAACTGGGGGCTCATCACGTACCGGGAGACCAACCTGCTCTACGACCCCAAGGAGTCCGCTTCCTCCAACCAGCAGCGCGTGGCTGCTGTGATTGCCCACGAACTTGTGCACCAGGTACAGGGCACCCGCTGCAGACCGGCCCCTTCTAACCTGCCTGCAGCCAGAGGAGTCTCTTACTTATGACTTAGCAGGTGAAACATAGCCAACTCAGAAAATCCTGCGTGAAAACTGTTTGTGCTAATAAACACTGAGCCCTAAAGAAACTTTAAAATTTGTTGTTTTGCCATTAGTCAATCCATAGGTGGCCTTTCTGCAACTTTAGCATCCCTCGTAGAAGCTAAACAAAGACAGTAAACCAAGGAGCATCTAATATCCAAAAATCAGGATAAGTTAAGCAAGAAATAAGGGCCAAGTGCAGCGCTTACCACTTCTGTGACACAGTGACAGAACTTACGTGGACAAACGCTTTGAAATTGCCAGGGTCTCTCTAGCATAAGAATAAGAAGTTAACTGCCTCTGTTGCTTCCGATTTCAGTGGTTTGGGAATATCGTGACCATGGACTGGTGGGATGACCTGTGGCTGAACGAAGGCTTTGCCTCTTTCTTTGAGTTCCTGGGAGTGAACCACGCAGAAAAAGACTGGCAAATGGTGAGCCCAAACCGTGTGCTCCAGGCTCCTGCGTCCTTTGTGCAAAGCAGACCGAGAGCTCTGGACTCTGGCGGTGCCTGCAGTCTGGGGCTCAGGGCAGTGGGGGTGGGAAGGTCCACGGTGTCAGCAGGGAGCAGCCAGCCTTGCCTAGAGCCGTGCCCGGGCCCTGAGGAGCAGATGGCCACCGCAGTCTGGGGACATCTCAGATGGTGTCACTCAGGCTGCGTTCCAGGCGGGACCAAGACAGCCAGTGCAGAAAGTGGCAACCTGTGTTCAAGAAAATAACCGCCAGCTCACTCTGAAAAAGTTACTCTTGCTTTGTGAGCCACTCACCCTAGACAGGCTGCTAAAATGGTGCAGTGAAGAAATAAGTCTAAACTTAGTGCACAAGCTCAGATCCTGGACACATTTCTTAGGCTCGGAAATAAGTCGGTTCTCTCTTCACTGTGCAGTAGGGACACGTTGTCCCGTAAGGTTAGAAGCCTCAATGGCTGAAGCGCTGTGTGCCTGAGGGGCCAGGAACAGAAATTCCCCTGCATCCTATGTTTTTAAAGAAAAGCTACATATGTGTTGTATTTATATAGATGATGTAAGTATTCTTATCGGTACGTATGTATAAATGTGTGGACACCCGCATGTGGACATAATGAACAGACAGTTCTGAGAGATCGCTTATGGTGTAGAATACTGCCCTCTGCTGGCAACAATAAAAATTAAATGCCTGAGGCCTTGCAGTTCTAGCTCTAACCTTTAAAAGGGAGAGTGTCTTGCAGCTATTGCTTCTTTATAAGCGTAAGCTGCACCAGGGTTTCTCAAGCATGAAAACGCTGATGCATGGTTACCGGAAGTGAACCACATATGTGGAGAATTATTGTAGCTTCTGATTTCCTTCGTAAAGTAACCCGATGCCCTTCTTATATCTAACTGCTATAAAAAATTGTGACATTTTAACATCACCTGATGTTAAAAATTTTAAGGCTTACAAAACACTGATTGGATTCCAGAAGAATCTGGTGTGCACATCTTGAGGTTTCGATGACATTAATTACTTGGCATAAATCACACCCACCATTCATACATTCTTCATTCAGTGAATACGAGGAGGACCCAAAATGGTTAAAAAGTAGTTTTAGCCTTTAAGAAGTTCTCAGTTTAAGGTATTACAGATGAAGAGATCAGAAAAATAAAGATATTTTGTAAGACAGCTTGATAAATTCCACTATAATGGAACTTCCTTTCATCAGTGAAAAATCTGAGGGCTGGGATATAATAAAACCTGACAATTACTAAACAGACAATCGGTGTCAAAGCCAAGAGTCAGATTCCTGATGCTATGCTGCTAACAACAGGGATCTTTCTATTTACTGACAGCTCTTAGGTGTGAAAGAAATCAAAACCAAGTCCAAATCGCCTTGCCTGGCAGCCTTCATTTAACACCAGAACCTTGCCTGTTATACACAGAAAAATGTAGAGTGATACATGTGCTCCTCTTTTGGAAGTATTTTGAATTAGACAGGATTGATGAAGTTTTTAAGTTTTTAAATTAGTGATGGTTGAACAGGTCGGAACCTTGCTGCTTAAGACTTCCATTACTAGCAGCTAATGTGCCCGGTTTCCACTCTGTGCCAGGTGCTTAGCAGAGCCATGTCTTCAACTGTGTAGAAGTCTAAAGTGCAGATGCCACTGTCGCCCTTCTTCTAATGAAAGAGGGCGCTTGCTTAAAATACCAAGAGAATGGAAAGACGGAGCCTGAACCCAGATCTGACTGTCCCGCTAGAACTCTCAGCAGTTGTTTGGCTGGGAAAAGCCAGGACTGAAATGACAGTTGATTGCTAGAATTAAAGATCAACTCTGTTTTCTTTGATTGATCACAAGTCATCTGAATTCCAGTGCCAGGTTGACATGAAGTAAAAACCGAACATCAGCTATGGCAAACAGTGCCTCACTTATTTCTCAGAACAAATCTGGGACTGTTGTCTCTGCACAGAGGTGGAGATGTCTTGGGAAGGTGGGCATGTGTCCAAGGTCACAGGAGAGTGGCTGAAACAGAATCCATAATGCCTGCATTTTCTTGGCCTGTCACATAGAAGTCAAAGGAGTCATATACAGAGGAAGGGACTGAATCAGTGTAGAGCAGTATTATAATTGACATCTGAGATCCCAAAGTTGCGTGTTTCTGGGAGGTGACCGGATCTTGGAGAGCTGTACTGGTCTGCGGATTCACCATTGAGAGGCAGCTGGACTAGGTGGTCCCTGGGGTCGTGACCTGGAAGGCCTTGTCCCTGGCTCTTCTCTTCCCTCTCTGCTTCCTGGCTGCCATGGGGTGAGCAGCTGTGTCCTCTCCAGGCTCTCCCACCGTGTGTTTCTGCCTTGAAGCCAGCTTACCACAGACTGCACCCACTGGAAACCGTGAGCCAAGCAAACCCTCCCTAAAGCTGAGGGTGTTGAGTGTTGTGTTCCAAAGAGGCTTGGAATACAATTAGTTTGAAGGGCTAATATTTGTTGTAGATAACTTGAGTCTTTTTATTTACCCTCCCCATGCGGCACTATAAATAATGAATGAGTGTTAGGGAAACACGATTTCTCTTTGGTTCATCTGTCTGCAGCGTGACCAGGTGTTACTTGAAGATGTGTTACCTGTGCAAGAAGACGACTCACTAATGTCTTCTCATCCAATTATTGTTTCTGTGGCGACCCCTGCTGAAATCACATCTGTTTTTGATGGAATATCATACAGCAAGGTGGGGAAATACAGCATTGTTTGGAAGATCTTTTTACCTATTGACTTTTCCAGGAGATGCTTAAATATGCGAGATTGGTTAGACTTGCCAGGGAGCTCTGGAGAGCAGAACAGAGCTTATTCTCAGCATTGTGCTTTTCAGAAGAACTGATTAGTGCTGGTTATTGTCACACGATTTTGAATCCAGTTTTTAATTTTTTCTCTTTTCACCTTTACTTATAACTGCTGTCATTTTGATAAAGTCAACACGTAGGCTTTAGGCAGAAAATTAGATTTTTTTCCTTGCTGACCATAGACCCTCTTGCTGTGTGGCCAGCAGAGGATGTCTCACGTGTGGTCACCCTATTGCTGCAGATTCTTTATTCCTCCCAACAAACATTTAAGTGCAACTCGGTTGGAAGGAAACATTTTTATTGATTTTTACATATGATCTAAGGTTGGCTTTGTTCATGTCATAAATGTGGCATTTTTACCCATTAAAATTTTATGAAACATTGCTGAAAATCTGTATCTGAAAGTTTTATATTACCAGGTCTCTCCTGTTATACCACCTCCAGATATATTCCTTGCCTATATGTAAAGTAATTTAAATTTTTATTTTAATAATTTTCTACTCATTTCTCATAGATTACCCATAATTAAGTGATTCAAGGGCTATTGCTGAGTAATCCATTTTGTTATCTGGGGTGATGCCTAAAACATTACTGTTTATTCATATTATAGTTATTAAAATGAATACTTAAAGTAGCTTGAATCAAAAAACTATAAATTAGTGTTTGAAATTTATGGCACAATATTATTTGGCTCCTCCTATATTATTCTCATGGCATCTTTCCAAGGTCGTTTTATTCATTTTTTCACATTATCAGTGATTCTTTTTGTTTTTGCATTAAAAATGCAAATGTCCAGTCTACTCATAGCCAATTGTAGTAACTCACACAGAACTTAGAATGGCTTATTCCCCAAGTCCTAGATACTCCATGGACTAAGATATTAGATCATAAATAAATAAATTTTTCAAATCCCTAAGCCTTCTCCCTTGGTAGAAAAACAATTTAAAATGTTGGATAAGTCATAAAATAATTGCTAAATTCAGTGGGGAGAGAATGTTTTCCTAGTAAGTTACTCGGAAACTGATTTGAAATCTTAAGAATGGTGCATCTAGGTATTGATTTCCTAACACACAAAAGCAAATGGAAAGCAGAGGCTTGCATGAGATTCTTCAGATGAAAGAAAACCAAATGAGATAAACTGCATTTGACGAGAAAGTTTTTAATGCCTAAATTACCTAACTATTCCTATTAAACCGATAATTCATCAACTCTATGCTTCTTTCTGCTAAACATAATTATTTTTCTAATTTTGAGATATATTTAATAAATTTACCATAATTTTACCCTGAAACCATTTTTTAAAAATCAAAACTATGGTTTTGAACTATTCCGTTCTTTAGCATTGCTCCATCTGCTGGTTTATTTTAGGAACTGCAAGTGTTACTGGACCTTGAAGCCCCTGAAAGGAGAATTTTAGCAACTTCTTTACCTTTCAGTTATTTTAGAAGCACAGATTTACAAGGTGCACCAAGTGATATTTTTATCTTGAAATCACAGAGTGATGACTGTGTAGTTTAGCAGAGTCATCTTCAAGGGACACTTTCACATAAGGATCAGGGTAGTGATGGCTGATACCTGTTCCTTTCCATAACCTTGATCGGCTTGGTTTGCGATTTTTCTCTGCTGCAGGGAGCTTCCATTCTGAGAATGCTGGAAGACTGGATGACTCCGGAGAAGTTTCAGAGAGGATGCCAGGTGTGCTTTATGGCTTCCGGTGACCCTGAAAGTAAACCACCCTGATAGGTGCTGGTGAACGCTAAGGGTCATTATATCCGTCACCTTTTTGCCTTGAAGGCTGATCACATAGCAAAAGAGAAAAAGCAGTTTCACTCCAGAAATCTCTTGGGGAAGTTTAAGCAGATTGGTTATTTGTGATGCCTTTCATTTGTGTATTTGCTTGGGCTCCCATGAGAAATCACCACAGAGCAGCTTGGACAGGACAGCGTCCTCTTCTCAGATTCCCAAGGCAGAGGGCCGAGGGCCAGGATGCCGGCCAGTGCCGTTCCTGCGCAGTTTTCCTCCTGGCCGCCTCTGGCCGCTGGCCACCTTCCTTCTGGCTCCCCCTGTGTGTGGGGCTTCTGATGCCTTTCATAAGAACCACGCAGACTGGAATACCCCCCAAGCCCCATTTAAGAGCACAGTCGCTCCATACCAACATGATACAGAATTTAAATATCTCTAACTGGCTGCTCCCTCACAGTAAGCACATGAGTTTTCCCTTCTTGTTGGACTGGAAACTGACTATGCTCTTTTTAGAATGGAGTCAGTGAATAAAGAGTCCACTTCTTTTAGGAAAGAGAAATAAGAGCAGATTTTCTAATACTTTCCCCAGATCCCACTTAAACATCTTGCTCCGGTGAGTATTTTAGGTTCATTTGTGTTTTTCTAGCAGATCCTCAGTCTCAGAGTCGCTGCTTTCTAATCTGTGTCACTCGAGTCTTCAGAGAACTGTCCTGTCCACAGCCTAGAACTGGAACCCTATTCTGACTCCTTGCCTCCTGTCTTTGTTCTCTGATAACCCAGATGTCTGGGTGCAGTGGTGCTGGGGTGTACACCCCATAAAATGGAACACAGGCTGGGGAGCAGCGCCTATCAGAGCACCCACAGAGCAGCGATCCCTGGGACAGAGCCACCGGCCCCACTACTGCCTTCTAGCTCTGTGGCATCTCTGTGCTCCAGTGTCTCAGAACACAGCCCACACGGTGGGTGGACCAGAAGATTTTCGCTGAGTGAGCGAGCAAATAGTCTAAACAGAGAGAACACAGTTGTTGTAGAAGATTCATTTTCACACATTACGTTAAAGTTCCATTGGCGTTTTCAGTCTAAATTAAATTGTCTTTGATAAATAGAATAACACGTCTTTGGCATCTTCAGAACTGACTTCCAGTTAAATGATCTTTCACTTAATTCTCTCAGGGAAGCACCAGAAGAAAATAGGTAGAGCTAAATAGGTAGAGCCAGGGACATCGCTTACAAACAGAGAGCTCGCCTGGGCTCCATCCCAGGCCTGCAGGAGGAAAGCGTGAGCAGGTGGTCTAGTAATCCACTGACGGACTCACCTCCTTTAGTCCTGGTATCCGTGGTACAGTCGATTTTAAACCTCTTGTGTACAACCAACACTTCTCAAGTTAAAACTTCCTCTACCTGTGAGTGCAGGTGTGCTGAACTGAACTCCGTAAGCAGGTAGTAGTTGCACATGCTGACGCAGTGCTGTGGAAGAGTCTACGAAAACTCCACCAAAGCACTCGTTTTTGCATCTCCCAACACCTGCGAATACCTGAAATTGGCACAAGGTCAGGGTTGGCCACCTTCATCAGGGCTCGGCCGGTGGGCTGCTCCTTCCGGTTTGGAGTTTGAGCTGCCACACTTTGCTTCTTCCCTGGGTCCTGTTACCCCTGCAGATACTCACTTCCGGCCCATGTCTCTCCTGAGGAACCTGGTGGGGGCCGAGTCTGGGCCCGGCCAGGCGTCTGCTCGTTCATTTTCCTTCATCAGCTTCCCCAGATCCCACCGCAGGCAGCAGAGCAGCACAGATGGGAGAAGGGAGAGCAAAACCTCCTATCCCAGAATCCCTGTGTGATAGCGCAGTTTGGAAGCAGGCATCAGAACATGCGGTTACCATCATCAGCAGGAAGCGAGAGACATGCAGTCCCTCCTCCTTCCTCTGGCACCGTGGCATCGCCAGTGAGACCGGAAGGGCTTTGCTGGAAAGTGCCCCCTCCTCCTGGGCCTTTGGGCTCTGCAGAGCCTGCTGCTGAGGGCTGTGCCTGGGCTGTGTGATTCTAGATGACGGCACTGTGACTGTCCACACTGAAGAAGAATACAGAATGCTCGGAGCTCTAATTAGACAAAATAAAATCAGTGCCTTTTGCTGCAGTGTTTGCATAAATTTCCATCGGGCCGGTAGAGTAAAACACAATTTTTTAAATTTAGTAAACTGCGGTTTAAAACACAGCCAGGATGAAAACAGTGCACACCTGTCCAGGGTTTGGGTTCTCCTCATAGAGGGCCCAGGCTGATCTCTTCGCCTCTGTGGGCACCAGACAGAGCTGCAACCTTCACCTCAAAATGTGGGGTTTGCAGGAAATCAATATCCATTCTGGTTCCTGAGATCACAAACTCTGTGAGTATACACCCAAGAGTTCTAAATCAGTTTTAAAAGACATTCAATATAAATTGTCATTAACACATAGATAGGGTTATAGTTATTAGGAAACTAAGCGTCCAATCTTTTCATTAAAATACATTGTTTCTGGAACCCCTCCGGGGCCCTGACACTGGTCGGTTAGTGCCCGCTTGTCCCTTCCTCTGCCGCCCCCTGGTGGCAGTGTTGAGAAACGCACCCATCTCTAAGGCCCACCTGGACGCCAACCTGCTCTGGGTTGTCTGAGTCCAATTCTGTTTTCTCTCCCTGTGCGTGTACCTCGGGGGCCCGGGCCCGCTCAGCCCTGCACAAACCCCAACTCAGAAAGACGCCACTTCTGCCCCTAGGGCGGCAGGGCCGGGCGGTGTCCTGGAGAACGCACAGACCTCGGGCCGACGTGTTCTACTTAAAGGTTCGTATTTTTTAGATACTTGAACAGTGAAGACGCGTTCTGTGCAGCAAATGATTTTCCCTTGATCCATTATTACCTTTTTGTTCAGGAGATGGCATATCGATTTTCTTGGAGCAGAGGTCGGTGAACTGCTCAACAGGCCAAACCTGGCCACGACCTAGAAAAGGGGTCTGTATTTTAAAATCATGGAAAAATCAAAGGAAGACCATTGTCTAACATAAAAGCTGTATAACACCCCAGTGTCAGCCGCATAACTCGTACTTTACGCAGACGGCCATGCTCACTAAGTCAGACGCAGTCGCCCACTGGCTGGGGGCCTCCGGGAGGACGAGGAAGACCGACGCCGGCTTCTAAAATGCTTACTATTTTTCACATACAGATTTACTTGCAAAAGTTCCAATTCAAGAATGCGAAAACTTCAGATTTTTGGGAAGCTCTGGAGGAGGTAAGGCGATGCCCAGGTGTTCCTCGGGCCACCAGCCGGGTCTCCGCTTGGCTCCCACCCCTCTCGTTGTGAACGAGCTGACTTCCGTGTCTTCCCGCCAGGCCAGTAGCCTGCCCATCCGGGAAGTGATGGACAGCTGGACCCGGCAGATGGGCTACCCCGTGCTGAGCGTCGGGGACGGCAGGGTCATCAGGCAGCAGCGCTTCCTGCTGGACGCGAGAGCCGACCCGTCCCAGCCGCCTTCGGATCTCGGGTAGGGCTCTCCCCGATTGGCAGAGGCAGCAGAGTGGCGAAGCCCAAGTCTGCGCCGACGGGGGCTCCAGGCCCAGAGCCTCGAGGGCGCTGCGGTCCCCAGGGTCGCGGTCGGAGCCTCCGTGTCTGCTCCTCCGGGAGGACGCTCAGGGAGTGACCCGCGAGGGACGAATAACAGGGCTGCAGGCCCTGCGGGAATCTGGAGGCG